TTTTCCTTAAATCTCTTTGCAAAGAGTATTTATTTGATTATCCTCTGATTAGTATTTCAACTTGTGTTATCGTTATTTTAGAATTTCGATTGAATATTTTGATCTCATTAATCATATTCTGCGAATATTGAGACATGATCGTGACAGCCAATAGCCAATATATCGCCATCCAAGAGACCCATGAGATTGGGGTTGAGGTGAGATGATTGCTGAGGTGTCAGATTTGTGTTAAAATCCTGCATGACGTGTGATATGCAAATCTGATATTTGTATCTGTTGATTGAGATACTTTGTAATACTCGATTATTTGTTATTTAATGTCTTTAAACATATTTTTACTCGTCATATTGTATACTTTTTCGCTTTATTTAATATTTTCAGGTTGATTTTAGAGAAAATATTAGAACGAGATAATCAAAGTATTAAAGACGAAGAGATATCGACATAATTGATGTTTTATTCGTATTGAGAGATTTATTTATGGTGACAGATTTATTTGATTGAGAGATGATTTTGATAAATAAAATTTTATTGGAACAATTAGCACTCTGTTATTTTTATTTGGGTATTTTTATATCAATTAATGTCTCTGAAAAGAAGAAAAAAATTGAGACGTTACATTTTATGTATTGACTCGAACACAAAACCAATACTATCATCCCACCTAACATGATTAAATGAATAAATTATGGTAACATTAACTAATATTCAATTTACAATATAAAATAATTTCAATTAACTCATTCGACGGTTTCAAATAGATTCATTCAGCGACCATCAACATCCCTCTCAAAATCATTTACATTGAATTTTTTTCTCCTCCCAAATCCATCACTTCTCACTTATCTCACAATTTTATTAAATTTATATTGTACCATATCTTCAGACATAGATTATTCATAATATAAATTAAAACAAAACCTATCCATACACTATAACTCAATTTACACCCTCTAAATAATGAGAAAGACTAGGATATCAAAGTTCGTACTATATTGAAATTTATAATTTTTTTAAATTAAGTTATAATTTTTTGAGGTAAAAGTTATAACTCGAAAAGTTATTATCAATCAATTTTAAAATATCATTATTGATTATGGAAGTTACAATTTCTAAAGATAAATTTGCAACTTCTAAATATAAAATTACAACTAGTTATAGATGTTTATGTGGATCATAACATTAATAATTGATTATGGATTTATCTCCAGAAATTATAATTTTACAAAGATCACATTTTTGATGTACCGTTTGACTGATACGCGACATACTTTAATAAGTATGCAATTAATTAATCTTTTTAAAGTACTATATATGCTGGACTAAAGACATTCTTTGAGGATAGATGGTCCTCTGGACTCTCTGGTGATTTTTGAGACTTAAAAATTGCAGATTTTAAATGTGAAATTACAATTAGTTATGAATATTTATGATCGATCATAACATTATATAATTGATTATGAATTTATCTTCCAAACTTATAATTTTAAGTTTAAAATGTATAATTTAAATCTTAAAAAATAGTTCTCAATGTATGCAAGAGGTTGTTAGCTTCCACAATTTTTTTTTTAAAATAATAATAATATTTCCCTAATTATAATTAAAGGTTTCACATTCCTAGAGCAATCCCATTCTCCAAGGGGATGGGATAATATTATGGTGATATTATATGAGTAATACTATTTAGATTTAAAATTTTGATTTAATTTATTGATATAATGATGTAATTTTCGTAAAATTATTGAATAAATATCAAGTTTCAATATTTGATAGGCTCTATAGTCAATTCAAAAATAATGATAAATTATATTAATAAATTAAATTTTAATAACATTGCTCAAATATAATATTTGTGCTGTCACTTGCCACTAATACTATGAAAGTAACATAGCACAGGGAATAGGGACAGCTGCAACCAGCTCACTCTCCACAATATTTATTCAAAAATTAATTACAACTCATTCTTAAAAATATAATATTAAAATATAAAGTGATGAATTTAGAGAGAAAGAGGAAAATTCAATATACATTATTTTGAAAGGGATGTCGGTAACTGTTGGATGAATATAGATGATTTTGAAAGAGATGTTAGCGACCGTTGAATAAATTTATTTAAAATTATTAGATAAATTTATTAAAATTCGTTCTATTTTATATTGTGGATAATATATATATCATTTTTTCGCACTATTTTAAAATGCACTATTAGATTAATAGGTCCATATAATGTATCAAGTAGTCAATAATTACAATCGTATTGGTTGGTGTAAGTGAGATGAGACAGGAAGGTGATGCAAGATCGTTATTCATATTTGTTTGGCCAATCACATAGACCAGCCCACAGCTACACCGAGCTAGCTCACCACCCATAATATTTTTTAAGTGTAATTACATGAACATCCCTTATAGTGTGTGATAAGTAAAAAAGTTGTCATTATACTTCTTGAAATTACACTACATTGCTTTTAGTTTCGGTTCAAATTTTACAAAGTCCGTCCATTAATTAACCCATGATTAAAAATCTAATAGAGTTCGTTGCGATAATCTGTTTCTTTATGTTCTTCAAATATCTATTATTTTGATTAGTATACACTCTCTCTCTCTCTCACATACACACATTCTCAATCCAAATTACACATTCTCAATCCACCATCACTACCACAAGAAATCACATAAATAATTCTCTATGCAACCAACCCATAAACCATAATCTTGAAAGAAATCAAACCACAACCAACAAATTTCTTTGTTATTGAACCACTATCATCATCACACCATACATTCAAGTATGCATATATAAACTCAGTCATTTATTCTTTATACACAATATATATATATATATATATATATATATTAATTAGGTAAAATATAGAAATGGATTCCAAATAGATAATTTTGTTGGAGATTTCTAGAGATTCAAGCCAAAAATTCCAGCTTTGATCATTCATAAAACTTTGAAACTTCCAGATTCAACCATTGAGGTTTCAACAAATGACTAACATCTAAAAAACTTATTCTTTTAATGGACATTCTAAGATGACACCCAAAAGGGTGAGAGAGATATATAGAGCAGCGAGAGAGAAATATAATCATTCATTGTAAGTTGTGTCATCATTTTAGCACTACTTTTTTGCACTGAATGAGGGGTTCCTCATAAAATAGATGCTCTTATTATGATCTATCAATAAAAGATGTATTATCTCTATTTGTGTAGGTATTCACACACGTGAATTGGCCTCTTTGTGTGCTCATTTTAGTATAGTGCAAGGTTAGAAATTTAAAAATAAGAGGTTGAAAAAAATATAAAATTCAGCAATCAAAATGAAAAGACTTATTGACGGGACATTAAATGACTCGCCAAAAGAAAATCGATACATGGACACCCACAACCTTTAGGACGCACACAACTCAATGGAAAAAGGAGTCGAGAAGTTATGAAAAACGAGGCCAAGTGCACCCCTTGGGACATAGCATTAAATGAGACCTTGCAACTCATTAAGTGGGTTTTGATTGGTTTGACAGATTATTAATGAATGTATGAGTCCTCGAAAAACTTGGAAAATAATCATCATTAAGAGGCATTAATGGCCATTATGTCGACATGGAGACCTCGGGGGATCCCAAGAGTAATGGTTTCTTCCTCATGAAAGCTTGGGAATAAATTCCTAGCGCCGATGTAAAGCATTTAATGGCAGGGGATCGAGTCATGTATACTCGACATTTCTCGAGAAGGGATCTATTTGTCGTGGCATGTTAGTCTTAATGAGACTAGACATAATGACACTCATTATGCTAAAAATGAACACATGTCAGATGAGACTAGGGTTAGGGCCATCATTACAACTTCAAATATAAATACTTCTCAAACAACTAAGTTAAAGTACGCAATCTTGAAGGATGAATACACTGTGCATTATGACCTACATGCCGACTGACATGAACTTCAAAGGAGATTAGCTAGGTTCACACTCGACCTCTTTTCTAATCTTTTGATTGTTTCAGGTTCATTGTTCAAGATTACTTAGAAGATTACTATCTCACACATTGTAAGAATTCACCCGTGCACATATTAAACATAGCAATTTTTAAAATAGAGGGAGCCCATGGACCCTAGTCATTTGGTGGTTTTCACCACCATCTTCGTGTGACTAGGTGAGGGAGAAACTAAAGAAGGAGATAAAGTCAAAGGTGTTTGGTCACAGGTTTAAGTTCTTCTAAGTTGGGGGTTCGGGTAGGGGGATATAGTACAACTAATTATTGCATGTGTCTGAAGGCACATAGTAATAAAAAATAATAAATAATAAACATATTTGTATTTATTTTTAAAATCAAATCACAAACATAGAGAAAAGATAAAAGAATTTAAACATCGGTTTTTAGTAAGGATGAAAGGTGGTGGACAGCACTAGTGGTGGTAAGAGACGATGATAGTTGTGGTAAGTGACAATGACCGTGATGGTGATGACACTGGTGGTGGTGGCAGTGGCGGTGGAGGTGGTGACGACAGTGGTAGTTGGGGCAACGGTGGCTATGGCGGTGGCAGTGGTGGAGGCAGCAGCGATGGTGCGGTTCCAAACACTATTTTTAAAAAACACACCTTTAGAGACCTATTTTTCTTATTAAATTTAGGATGTTAATATTAGCCGTTAGATTAACTTTAAAGTAAAATTTAAAGTAATCTCAACTGTGAATAGTAAAATTTATTTTGTTTATTTTTAGAATTTAAATTATAAACTATTTTATTATATAAATATGAAAACTATTAAATGCATCATTTATAGTTATCAAATACTATTGGGGGGGGTGTCACTATAATTTTGTTGCCGACAAGATTAGTGACTTGTCTGTGTGCGTGAAAGTTCCTGTGACCAACGTGAACCTATCACTGTCCACCACGTCAGCCACAAAAATCCAAAGTAACCCAACGCAAAAATGCGACCATAGTTAACTGAATATATCTAAACCATGGTAAAGTTTAATGACACCATACGCCCCGAATATGCGAATCTAGTGACTCTATTGCCTCTTCAAACCCATCTCTCTCTATAAAACGACAAAGCCACCTAACGCATTCTCAGATTTTTGGAGAGAGAGGACTCAACAGAACCCTGTAATGGCGGCCATTTCGAGCTGTGCTAGGGTTTTTTCATCCTTCGAGTGTCGTTCAGATCCCGACTTTACCGGCGTACCTCCGAGTCCAGGCGGTGGCAAATTCTCCGCCAACGCCAACTCGGTGGTGCTGAGTCGCGGATCGGTCGGAGGTCTCTCTTCTCTGATCTTCAAATTCCCACCGAACTTTGTGAGGCAGCTGAGCACAAAGGCTCGGAGGAATTGCAGCAACATTGGGGTCGCTCAGGTGGTGGCGGCTTCTTGGTCAAATAACGAGGTGGTCAATGGTTTGACCCCGGCGGCGGCTAAAGCCGTCGATGCGGCCGCCGCGGTCTCCGTTGCGCAGGTTGAGATTGCGACCGGCGAGGAGGAGGCTGTGGTGGTTGAAAATGTTAATGGTTGTAGTAATGGTAGAAATGTACAGTTTGAGGGTTTAGCTGATATGAAATATGCTTCGTTTTTGAGCTCTGATGGGAGCGTCGCAATTCATGCCGGTACGTGTGTGTGTGTGTGTGTCTATATATATATATATATATATAGTTCATGCCGGTACGCAATTCATGCATGTAAGGTTTTGCATGTCTTATACAGCGATATTAATGGCTCTGTTTGTTTGTTAATCAGTCAATATATCATATATGTCTTGATTGTATTAATTTATTAACTTCCTTCTATTTTTATTCTGGTTTTATGTATATTGTTGTTCATCTAACTTCAGTTCTTATGAGTTTGTATGTGCGTAGTCATGCGAGTATAGATGGTTCAGATAGGAAGTTAATGCCTAACCGAAGGGGATGAGTTACTTGTGAAGTTTAAGTCACCTATAGCCCGTAGAGATATGCTGATGAGTGGCTGTTCATAAACGTCTTGAACATTCTATTTGACTAATTGACAGTGACGTCAATTACAATGATGGTGTTTTTTTTTCTGTAGACTAGATTAAGCCATTCGAACCTCAGAATAGAGAGAAATGTTGGAAATTTATGCAAGTTCTTCTTGGGGTCACACTAGTTTGTATAATGCCAGTACCTTTTATGTTCTTGATTTTTCTCTTATGGATGAAAAAAATGTTCTTTTGTAACAATGGTTTTGTTTTCCCCATTATTTTACTTGTTTCTAGTGGTGGATTTGATAGACATGAAGAAACACTTTGAAATTGCATATTTCATTTTATTAATTTAGATTTATATTTTCAATTCCATGAATGACTCCGTTCTTAATGTCCTCAGGTGAAAGATTGGGTCGTGGTATTGATACGGACGCAATAACTACGCCCGTAGTTAATACATCTGCCTACTTCTTCAAAAAAACTGCTGACCTAATTGATTTCAAGGTGTGAATTTTGGTTGTATTTGCTAGTGTGCATTATATTCTTATTCCAAGAAATGCTCCTTAAGCTACTTAATTCTTTCTTAGTTACCACCTTTAAGTGGCAAGTCATCCATATTTGGGGAACCCAATAAAGTCAGAAAGTGCTTGATCTATGTATGTGGTTATCATGGTAGCAATTAATGTATCATCCTCTAGAGTAAATGTCGTCATTGTAATCTTGCAAGATGATAGATTAGTATGGTGGATTGATTGTACTCCCCAATATTGTGATAGGAGAAAAGGCGTGCAAGTTTTGAATATGGGCGATATGGAAATTACACTACTGTTGTTGCAGAGGAGAAGATAAGGTCAGTCTTCGTGTATAATGTCCCTTACTCTTTCACACACATGTGAGTGAATCCATGCTAAGAGTATGGTATCTTTCTAACCGAAACAGTGCTCTGGAGGGTGCTGAATCAACCCTATTATTGGCTTCCGGAATGTGTGCTAGCACAGTCATGTTATTAGCATTGGTACCTGCTGGTGGGCATATTGTGACAACCACAGACTGCTATAGGAAGACACGGATATTTATTGAAACCATTCTTCCAAAAATGGGAATCACGGTAAGGTTTTTCTTTGTTTTGATTACTCTGTGATGTTAAGTTTGCATTTGATATCTATTGTACATTAGTTGCATTATTGCATTTTTGATGAATGTGTATGGCATTTTGGGCACTTATCAGAAAATTAGAAAAGGGATGACAATTCATGGTCATATTTGCTTATTTTGAATGGAGTGTCATTTCATAGTATGTGACATGACCACCATTTCATATGATAATTACTTGGTCACTTTGGCTTTGCCCTTTTTATTGAACTCTATTTTTGTCAAAGCGTAGGCCACTGTTATTGACCCTGCGGATATTGGAGCTCTTGAGTCTGCCCTGGATAAGAACAAAGTGAGTGGCAAAGAAGGTGGTTGGCTTGTTATGTTGGAGTTCTCAAAAAAGTAAAGGATAATCCTGATTTAGTTGTGTTATTGTTCCATGCAGGTGACTCTTTTTTTCACGGAGTCTCCAACAAACCCATTCCTGAGGTGCGTTGACATTGAGCTGGTTTCAAAGCTTTGCCATGAGAAAGGAGCATTAGTTTGCATAGACGGGACATTTGCAACACCTCTCAATCAGAAGGCCCTAGCTCTTGGGGCTGATTTTATTCTGCACTCTGCAACAAAATACATTGGGGGCCACAATGATGTAAGAAGCCAGCTTTCATTGGTGAAGTTCATTGTTTGAGAGATTAATAACTGTGAGATCATTCTATATAAAGAATTTGGCCGTTAAACTTCTTAAATTCCTGCTGCAGGTCATTGCAGGTTGCATTTCTGGTTCTGAGAAATTGATTTCACCAGTTCGTAACTTGCACCATATTCTGGGTGGTGTTCTCAACCCTGTGAGTTATCTTTCATAAGCATTATTATGGCATGATATTACCGTTGTAAACATCACATTCTTCTATCAGTAATTAGATACATGTAATTAACAACCCATTTCAATATTCTTTCTGTTATCAGAATGCTGCATATCTGATCATCCGAGGCATGAAGACACTGCATCTTCGCATACAGCAACAAAATTCAACAGCATTGAGGATGGCCGAGATTTTAGAGGCACATCCTAAGGTACGTGATTTACCTTGGAACTTTTAACTTTGTTTTTCCTTTTAAAGTTTCTTCTGAAGGGAAAATTCATTATTTTTTTAATATCAAATGGTTAAGACTGAGCTGTATAATTTCGGTTGTCTACCTTTTTTCACTCTTTCAAAGTTATGCCCTGTATTTTGTGTTTATTTGGGGGCCTGTGCTGCTTTTCTGAATCGTCTTAATTCAACTAAAACCTAGTAATATCAGTATTTCCAAAACCTGCCATGCCCATACCCAGTCATTTCTCTTTTATGCCAAAAACCAACACCAAACTCTGAACACTTCTAACTCGAGTATATGTCTTTTCTTTATTTCCACCCACTGTTTTCTATCTAGCTTATATTCTGTGTGTTATGATGCCTAAATTTTTAATGCTGTGTCTTTATGTGTCAAGTAAATCAGCCCAGTTACCCGTATATGTTTTTATTTAGAAGTCTTAAAATAAGTTTAGCATCAAGGCACATATTACACTACTATTCCCATTGTTGTTTTCATTAATGGGAAAAATAAGAAATACAAAGCTTAAGGAAAGTATTGTTCTTGAGTTTTAGTGGCATTATTGGGGTACTTGTTTGTAAGAACTAATGAATCTGATTTACAGGTGAGGCGGGTCTATTATCCAGGCTTGTCAAGTCATCCAGAACATCACATCGCGAAGCGGCAAATGACTGGTTTTGGCGGTGTGGTCAGTTTTGAGGTTTGTTGGTGATTGCCATTGCAACGTCTTGTATTATTTTCTAGTCGGACATGGGTATTCTGGTTTATTCCTCCTGAATTTTTGTCATTATAAAACATTCAGGTCGATGGAGACTTGATGACTACTGCAAAATTTGTTGATGCATTGAAAATCCCATACATTGCCCCGTCCTTTGGAGGTTGTGAAAGCATTGTGGATCAGCCCGCCATAATGTCTTACTGGTATGCCCTTCATTTCGGTGTAATTTGGTAGGCAAATTAATGTGATCTTTTACAGACTGATTTCAGATGGTATGCAATTAAAATTTGTAGAGCTGTTTATGCATTTTCTCTGCGTTTGGAGGACTTAAAGGATTTTTATGATGAGATTTGCTGTGGAGGATGTCAAACTTTATTTTTCAATGGATAATATATGAAGGTGTTCATGCACAAAAAAAAAAAAAAAAAGTCCGACAACTCTGTTATTGGACTGAATATAGGACTAGACCAAAGTTATCTTCTACAAATAGAGCTTTTTTGCATCTAACTGACCATGCATCCACATGAAACCTTTTCTTTTAGCTGCCCTTTGTAGTCGGCCTAAATGATCGCCTCATTACCATTTCCCCTGAATGCCTTTGACGACAACAATGATGCTAAGGTGCATATCTAGGTGAAGCAATGGCTGATTCAGCTCATTATATGTAGTTTAGTTGGCCATTTTCTGGGAACTTTGACTTGCACAATGTTTCAACTTTGAAGTTTTGAATATATGCAATTGTTTTCGCACTAGTTGCTAAAAGATGTGTTCTTGCCCACCTTTGGAAACAGGGATCTTTGCCAGTCAGATAGGGTCAAGTATGGGATCATGGACAACTTGGTTCGGTTCAGCTTTGGAGTTGAAGATTTTGACGACTTAAAGGCTGATATTCTTCAGGCTCTGGACACCATATAAAGCGGCTCACCGGCATCATCGTTTTTCATCATTTCTATTTCCTTTCACCTTTGTTTACATTCTTTTTATGCTCTTTCAAGTGTTGTTTTCAAATGAAATGCTCCTTTGCTGGAGTTTTAAGGATAATCAGCTGGTTGGTCCTATTAATAGTTGGCGACAATGTCTTTCTTCTTCCGGTATTATGGTTTTCAGTTCTTCAGGAAAATGATGATGAACCGTGAATGACGAAATAAATTTTGTATGCAGTCATTGCTTTTTTTCTAATCAAACTCTCGTTCGATGCTGGCAGTCTAGATTTAGATTTTCCTTATATTATTGACAACGTTGATGGTGATTGTCGTCAGCTTAGGGGTGATAATCAAGTCAAACATAATGAGCTTGACTATTCTTAGTTGGCTTGGGCTTGAACCTTGAGCCATGTTTTAAGCTCAAGCTAGGCTCGAGTGAATGTTAGGCTCAAGCTCCAACGAGTCTAAATTTGAGCTTAATGTCACGAATCCTATATTGGCTAGGTAGGGGTGATATATGAGCTTATAAGATCTTTGGACAATTTTTCTCTTAATAACTTAAGCTTTGGGATTATGACTTATGAGGATGTGGCAAGTGAGTGGGACTCAATGAGTCAACCCTATCAGGTGTGCGAGTCCTCCGTTGGGGATATTAGGGTTGAGGTAGGCCCTGGCCAGGTGGGTCCACTCACTCTAGGGGTGGAGCTGACTGCGACTGTTGCATCTCACCTTCGGGTGAGGGGGAGTCCACTTACAAGATCTTGGGTGATTCTTTTTCTTAACAGCGGGCTTGGGCTTATAATGGAATACAAACAATTTAAATACAAAAAAAGAAAAAAAAAAGGTCCAACATTCGTCAGGATTTTAACCAACGATTATCAAACATTTTGATACTGGAAACAGGTGTTGCATTCTATAGCCACCACCAACCAGTGAACAAATCCTACATTTATCTGATACTTCAAACAAAGAAACAATTCCAAAAAATATACATTTGCTTTATACCATTCTTTCCAGCATCCCAGAATTCTATCTCTCCAGCATTGGACATAAATAAACACATATATTTGGATCTGGTTTCAAGGGTTTCAAAGGGTAAGATTTCTTAGTGAGAGAGAGTGGGAAGGAGGGACACGAAGAGAGTGTGTTGATGGTTGCACACTGTATTTGGACCTGGTGGTGGACCGGTGGTTTTTGGAGTAAGATTGTGGGAGCCTGGGAAAAGATGGCAATGGGAGAGGGGTTTTACAGAGAAAGAGAGAGAGAGAGAGAGAGAATGTGGCGGTTTTGTCGAGTTTGACTCATTTTACAAAACGAACAAAGCCCGAGCGAGTCAAAAAAGAGCAGAGCTATCCGGACCGTTTAACAGCCCAACTGAGCCACAATGATTACACATTCTTGTTATAATCATCGTAGTTAAAAGGTAAGGGAACTGACTTAAACGCTCGATATCTTCCAACGTTATTCAAGTGCTCATTCTCCAACCTGATCAGTGAAACACATTGAAAATCATTAGAAAGGTGGCGGTGGTGGTGGTGGTCTTTGAAAATATGTACGGAAACTGAACTTTGAAAATTTTATCTTCTTTCTGTATTAAGTCTACAGAAGGATTATCAGGTAGCAAGTTCTTTACTCAAGGGGTTTTGACTAGCTGTAGTTGGCAACGGCTATTGTTTCTGTTTACGCCCAAAAATAACAAAATTTGAGGATAATACATGGATGGAATCTGATATTCATAAAAAAGTCTACGAGAGTCCATAATTGATAAGACGGTTAGAGAAATAGGACCCTTGGATTCTCGATAAATGAGTAAATGTGATATAATGAGTCGTTAGTGAGAGCAATGCTATAGAAACCTTATTTGAAAATCTAATGATGTGACTTTAATAAAACTATTAAATTAATTGTGAGTTCGAATATTAGATGGAGTCCACAACTAATTTAATAGTTGTACACTATTAGGTCCCCAAATTAGGTTCAAATAGCATTTTTCAATTTGAAATGGTTCAGCATATGTTCATATATCTCAAGGAACATGCCCATGCTCATATGTAATTGTCGAAAAAGATGGATCAATGGTCGAGAACAATATCTATAAATCGGAGATGCTAGGCTAACGCAAAGAGATTCCACAATCAAATCACAAATACTCTTTAAAGAACTAGCCTATTTTTTTACTCAATCCTTGCTTCCGAGCAATATTAACTTTTCCTATAATACATCACTCCTGGGATTTTTTATTGCTTTTATTTAATGCTAAGTTCAATATTCGATTCGTCTTCTATATTTGAATTTAATTTACTTGTTACTTTGCATTCCTATTGTTCACATGTCATTCATCGATGAAATCATTTAAAGTCCTTGAAACTTTAAAACATAAAAAAGAACTTAGATAACCTTACATTTCAATCACCTAAACAGTTACGATTTTTAGAATCCCACGTCGATTCGAATAGATAAAATCGTACATGTTTAGATCTTAAATCCACCAAAACTTTGGCATGCCCATAATTCAAAAACACGCCAAACACTTTCAAATTTAATTGAAGCAAGAGTTGATTTAAATAAATATATAAAACCTGAAGAAATTCCAGACTCCACGGCGAAGGATCTCCAAACATGCAACAATTGCTATCAAGGCTTGTCTATGGAGGAAAGGTGCCCCTTGAAAACCTAGAACTGATTGCATCCACGCAAGCCTTAGTATCACATTCACTACCTGCAAGTCATAGCAATGATTTAGAACATGTAGTACTGTAGTAGAAGTACCATTTCCCCTCCCCCACTTAGGACCCCTAGTACACAAGATTTCCGTCACTGCATATTCCGGTGTACGCGACCTTACTTCGTGTGTGGAGAAGTTGTTTCTGTCACTCAAATCCGAGGGACCTGAGTTACAATTGAACAATCTTATAACTGCACGTATGGTGTAGTTATTGCAGGAACACCTGTGTTAGTACTTACTATAGCTGCAAAGTACACTGTTTTGCTTGATATAAGAAGCTTATCCCTCAACCAGGGGTTTTTGGAATTGCGTCGCATGAGACCCCAATCAATAACAATGTCCCAGTATGTGTTTGCAACTGTAGCAACTCCTGAACTAGTTGCAGCCATGATCTGCCAAGTCATTCCCGGATTCAGATCATTTCCTGCCCTCATGACAACTGCAACAATTGTCGAAAAGTACTTGAGCCCATTCAGAGCATGCATTTTATCTTTCTCCTCAAACAACCGACGAAGGCACTGAAAATAGTGTAAGCACCCTCAGATTACATGGTATTATTAGAGATGTTAAACACAAGAAGATTCAGAAAAACAAAATGAAGAAACAACAAATTTTTTTGTCATTATTGCATACTTTTCAAAAGGGCAAAAAATCGCGTTAAGTACATGTGTGTTTGTGGATTGTGCAAAAACAAACGTACTTGAAGTAAGCGAGCCCAATAAGGAACAACTGCAACGATGATATAGAAGATTTGAAAGATTTTGCTTTCACGGCACACGTTTGATCTCCTCTTGAAGTCCCCCCAACCATAGTAGCAGACATAGAATTCTAAATTCCTGAAAGCCTGAACCTGAAGCAAAATGTATGTGAATATTAGTTGCTTTACCTGAAAGATTCAAGCTGAGTAAAGTGCAGAAGATTGCTACCAATATGTCATCACAAGCATAATGTCAAACCTGGCTAGTAAGCTCATCTGCCAAGAAGAAATCTGGGAGTGTAACCTACAGATACATTGAAATCAAGAATAAAAACCTTTTATGCACAGAAATTATTAGTCCTGTTAAGTAGATTTTACCTTGAAGAGAGGAGCACAAAGACAGTGCCATGCACATTTGATGAGGAAGAAGCGACTTGAGCGGTAGATGACGTTGAAGGGACAAAATATTACAAGAAGCACCACCTGAGATTAAAGATCAATAATAGTTTCAGCTTACGATTTATGTGGACAACAACATAAATATCATTCCAAGCCTGCTCGGGAGATGATGTTTTCTTGAATTTCATGTAGTTGAGTTTCCATATAAGCATTATTTTGGAAAAGAAACTGTGAAACATCCAATGACTACTGCATTATGTAGGAGGGGAAGAAATTGGATATATAAGCTTACAATGACAAGGCCTAAAGGGACCAATTCAGTAAATGCTTTGAAACTTTTTGTTCTTGGATTCATGTCCATGTCTAAGTTCGAGAGTACACAAGCTAATGTGAGCACTGCAAGACCTGAACCAAGTAGTAGGACTTCCCTGTAGCCCAATTCTGTCCCTTGCTTGAAGCCAAATACAAAAGCATAATTGACTCGGAAACGCCTCCAAAAGTATATGTTCCCAGAGTACATCAACATGTGTAGGATGATGAATCCGAACAAGCTGTAGAAATGGGGTCGCATATTACTTGAGTTATACTCTTTTTGGTTTAGAAAATGGGAAAAAAAATCAAGACTAAATTCTTACAAACAAGTAAACAACTTCATGACAACAGATTGTTGTGGATGCAAGATCTGAGATACCTGTAAAGTGGAAATATGTTTTCCATATATTGCACACGCCCTTCATGCTGAAGAATATCTCTTGCTTGTATAAGCACAATTATAGCCACTACAAGGGCTATTGAGCAGCCAGAGAATAAACCTGCGTGAGAAAAATGGTTCAAGAGGTTTATGTTTGTTCAATATTCAAAAAGCAACAGTAATGTTTCACCAATAAGTTAAGGATTGAAGGAAAGAAATTACTATGGAGTTAATCTGACATAGAGTGAGATACTTGAAACGCGTACTACGAACTTGGAAGAATTCAACAAAATAACAAGAAGACACATGATAAAAGAGATATCAACAGTGAATTGAACACTGATCCTAGTCCTGCTTGTTTTGATTCTGTAACAATGTCATAAGAGTTATACCACGTTTGCTACTAAAGAAAATTCAGGACGAAAAAAATGACAAATTTTGTGGCACAAGCCTTACCCAAGAAAAATGTTATTTTGTGCTTCTCTCTTTTAGCTTGTGGCCTTAATCTATTGATTCCTTTCCTACGATTTCCATTTGAGAAGTGCTTTATGAAAGTAGCCTCCACTCTTTCTATGAGCTTATTAACCTGAGGAAACAAAAGAAACACAGGATGGCCAAAAGTTAAACATGGAACTAATCCTGCTGAGTATCACAGAACAGATCTCATGAACTACAACAAACCTCATCGGAGCTGCCAAAGTAAGATTTATCTACCATCTCTAAGTAAGACTTTGATGCGCTCCGTGATGTGATCTGCAGTAATACATATTAGCAAAAATGAACCTCCCCGGGGGAGGTGGGGTTGTTGGGGTGGGTGGATTAAACAAAAACCTTTTAGTTTAGGTTAATTTTGAACAGAGAAAATTGCTGGACCTTGTCATACTTCTTCAGGATTTTAGAGAATGCCAATAGATTCAAGAAGCTGATGCATCCATTACCAGTAAGTTAGAAACTCTCTAACGAATAAAAACTTTCAAATTGCTAGTTTTCTATTGAAAGAATGAAGTAGTGTTACCAGTAACTTTTCACGAGTCGAAGCTTTTGGTAGAACTCAATAAAAGCCTGTCTAATTTGTTCTTCTGCTTTCCTCAGCTCCTCTTTACTGAATGACAAGTCGGATTGTGAACTCATGAAGACGCATTTCAAAGAGGATACAGGAGTTTCAGGTGCGACATTGAGCTTTATACGATCTAGAACATCTAAAGAAGCTGGCCTAAATCCTTGAATTTGTGCCTTCATTTTATCATCTTTTCCATGGTTACTGCTGTTTGGTTCATTTGCTGGTACTGTTCCATCTTCCAAATTTCTGTCACTGCTCATCTCAACTTCTTGAATTACCTCCAAATTTCCTTCACATTGAAAACAAATTTGGAAAATCTAAAGAGGGTGAAAGACTCTAAAAAAGAACCAAAAGATAATTTCTTCCCTATCCTTTTACTCATCGCCTTCTTCCCACAACCCCAAACCTTGCCAATCAAAATAAACATGAAGATAGACAATAAAAATTCCCCATTCATGGTCCCAACAGTACAGATGCACAACAGAAAACAGAGGAAATTGGCCACATATGGACATGTCAAAGTTGTAAATGATTCACCTAATTTGACGCTTATTCATCTTATAGTATACATGTGTTGCTCATTGTCGAGAAATCCAAAAGCATATAATCACCATACCAATTTTCAATTTTAAGCTTCCTTCATGGGTTTATTTTTTCTGAGAAAAGTATATCTAGTTTTGCTGTTAATCTTTGCATATACGATACAATTATTCCAAGCTTGAATTCAAGCTTGTAATATGAGCATATGGTCCCTCTTACCTGGATTTCTTGTATCGATGAATTGAGAGGATGATGGAGGAGCAGAGCCACCACCATTGGTTGCAAGATCTATCCCTTGGGTACCTCTTAATCCTTCCGCAACATTATCAACCTTAATCCGAAGAGCTATTAGAGCATCCATTTGTTTATTCAACTCCTCTGCCTCCTCCACTATATCCTTCACCCTAGCTTTATAAAACTTTAGAACTTTATTGAACTCATCATCTAGTCTCCTAAAGAACACAAGCTCATACTCTCCACCTTCCTCCGATGACCTCAAGAACATAGTCTGGTAGCACCCCTCGGAAGACCCTGAATCTTGACGTGCACTCACTAAAATTACTTCATCCTCCTTTGTTGGAGAGCCTTTGAGACAGTTGTATGTATTTGTTAGTCCACTAAAGGCTCTGTACAGTGACACCCTTCTCTTCAATGACCCTCTTGGAGTCGAGGCAATGGGTGATGATGAGTTCTTTGGCCTGAAACGTATGATATCTTTCAAGACAGTTTTAAGATAATTGTAGTTCATGTATGCTTCTTGCCACTCCTGCACCATCTGTGAAGCAAATTCCTTTCCAAACTTCATCCTTTCTTTACTGTAATCTATTCTCCTTCAGAATACTAAAAGATCTTTCATGAACATATAAAGATTACAATCAGTAAGATCTTTAATAGGGTTCAATTTTCAACTTTTGAACCTATTAATTATATGGCCACCACTAACGAGAGGGCCAGGAACAAAAGAACCCAAGAAAGGTGTCAAAATGACCGAAGCATCCGCTCTTATTTCGCATTGCACAAGCCCCACTACCTTTTTGATAACAAAGCTCTCGACCAATAGATAAATCCGAAATGAGTGATTCATACCGGTATTCTAATGGTGAATGACTGAATGAGATCAATGTATATAAAGAAGAACAAATAAACAAACCTTCTGTTTTGAAAAGTTTTGACTTTTTCATGAAAAAATAAAATTTCTCTCTTTTTTTTCTCATGGTGATGACCATTTTCATTTAAGAGTTCCACAAACAACATAGTGAGGCTTTACTGCTCTGCCTTGAATTAGAGTTAGGTTATTTCTCAGCTGTTTGCTAATCATGTTGGCCTAGTGTGATGTCATTGAACATTTATAGAATACCTACTCCCACAAACATATTACTACCTATGTAAACAAATACTGTTCTTCCAAGTAAATCAATAAATATTTAAGTGAGATTCACTTTGTCTATTTAGTGTTTTACTATTAGTTAGTGATATCATGTCATCAATGCTGACATAATATTATCGTTGAATTAAATGTTCTCTCTTTGAAAAGGATATGTTTGAATTAAAGGACAATCCGGTGCACGAGTCTCTCGATATGGATCTAGGGCGGTTAAAGGATGTTAGATCAACCGCTTTGATCTAAGGGAGACTTGGTAAAACTCCAAAGAAAATAAAGTTCTTGCAGCAAGATACTCGTGTTGTGAAATCTAAAGGTGTGGTGGCCTGCATTCAAGTGCCTTGGTGAGTATTTATTAGGTACGTAATGGTGCTAAAAGCTGGCAAGATTGTACATGATATTTGTATCCTTATCCCTCTTTTTTTTTTTTTTTTGGTAAAAATATTAAATTATTAATAAGGAAGATAAATTAAATCTGTGTTAGAGTATTTTAACAAAATAGTATTTTTATGTGAAAAATTCAATCGTCAATTAAATTTTTAAAAATATTTAGGCATATATATATTCTAATGCTATCTAACCATTGAATGAAGTGAAATCTAAAGACTCTCACGCGTGATGCTATCAATTGTCATAAGTAAAAGAGTATATTCTTAACCAACGCATAAGCAAGAGCTTCAATTGCAATCAACAATATATTCTTTTTTGTTGCATTAGTTTGTGGATAATATAGAAAGGTGTCGTGTAAAACTTCTACTTCATTCGATTGTGTAAATTTGAATGAAATAATAGTCAAGTAAGTTGAACTGTTGTATCATAAGAACGACTCATTGTTACTTTTTGTATTATATTTCTTCCATAAAATGGCACGAACCTTCTTAGAAAAACGACCTAATTTGTATTTCACGCATGCCGTTCACTTTATATTTCAAATTCTTATTTCCAAGAATATGTCGTTATCGTAGGACACTCGCATGATGCTATCCTAATTTTTTCATCATATCAAAGTTGCTTGAGTGAGTTTGATTATTAATTAACAAACAAGTAATAGCTACAATCGCAATGGTCATAATTAAAACGGGATCTCCTTGTTTAGAAGTTGTCGTCTTTCTTTCAACTTTGAATAGACAACGCTCACCCACACAAGCAAACAAAGGAACAGTCGATCAACATTTTGTGATTCGAGTAGGAATATTCTCAATCTTTTACACTAATATCTCTACGTTGTTGCCTTGAATTTTGTTTTAAAAAGCTTCCTACTCCTAAAAGACTGGGTGAGAATTGTAAATTGCAAGTTGGTAAGCAAACTAGTTTTTACAATTTCCACCCCCCCCCCCCCCCCAAAAAAAATCCTATTTTATCTTTTCTTGTTTCTTCATAAGTCAAAGTTAGGTGGCTTACTCTAATTAGTATAAGACCGGTTATTAACATGAACACTTCTCTGAGGTGGCCCACTTAATTCGATTGTGATTCCTACTCCACCCATCTCCGTGTCACCAACTAGGCAATTTAATTTCTACAAACTTACAAGGGGAAACTCTATGATTTTTCAGTATCGGTATAGCCGATTATTATTTTTTATGATAAGTTATAATTTTGAATGAAAAAGTTACAACTATTTAAAGGAAGATTATGATCGATCACAGATATCCATAATCGATCATGAACTCTTGGTATCAATCTTAGTATTTCATAATCGTTCATACCCTTTAAAGTTATATTTTATATCTCAAAAAATTATAATTTTTGGTACGATACCATCTGTGGTACTATAGCCTTTCCCAGATCGGAGTAGCTTGAATGTCACATTCGTCATCTTCAATATTGTTGTTAAATTAGCCTCAACTTGTAATGATCTTAATTCGAATTATATCTATACTACTTTAAAAAATATGTATTTTTACAAAACTTTTATTTTTCTCTTTTACCCTCTAACATTTCTTAATTATCTAAACTATCATAAATAAATATATTATAAAGACAATATAATACACCTTTTATTTATTATATTAATATCATTTATTACATATTTCTCATGTTCTGATTTCTCCATTAAATTATTAGTTTATGAAACAAGAGAGATGGAGGGACACAACTCCTAAAAGATTATTCATCTTCCTCTATATATATATTACTCTTAAAAGACTACTAAATCCACTATTCATCACCCCAAAAATCTATCCCCACCAACAACCACTCAACACCACTGAAAATCCACCCCCAAACCCCACAGAAAATTCATTCCCAAACCCCTTGCAATCCACTACCCACCACCCCGAAAACCCACTCCCCACCGAAAATCCACTCCTAATCCCCCAGCCCCAAGACCCCGCTGAAACTCACCCCCAACACCCTAAAACCTACCGTCAACATCTCCCCTGAAAATCACCAACTAATAACCATCCAAAATCACAAGAACAACGACAAGAGAGAGAGAGAGATGAAGAGACTTTTATACTCGAGTAAAAAAATCATGTACTTGTTGTTAACAAGACTCGAAGGTTGAACCTCATTAAAGGTGTGTTTCAACGCCTATGTTTGTTTTGTTTTTTAGATGTTTTCAAAAACATATTTTTTGAATGTTTTCATATTTTGGTCTTATTTTCAACATAGAGCAGTAAAAAGAAAAATAAAAACAATCCCCAAATGCCTTTTTGTTTCTTTTTTTGCTATAAAATGAAAACAAAAAAAAAAACAACCGGTTACCAATCCCTACCTAAATGTTTAACCAGCGCGATTTTTTATTACACTAATTACTAATTTTTTTTCTCAAAATTTGAAAGGAAGTACTCTGATTTTTTTTTTTTTTGGAGAAATTTAGGGTGTAATAGCATTTGTGGAAAAGTTACGAGAGCCCATTCATTTTTTCTTTATTTCTCATTTTGATCGATCGCATATCACAAATTCAAGTGAGACCCATTTTATATAAGAGGGGGTGCCCAAACTAATTTAGGACCCTAAGCGAAAATATTGTATGTGACCCTATAAGCATTATTTAGTAATAATAATAATAATAAATATTTATTAAAATATGTTTTATTTACTAATTACTTGTTTTGTCTTTTGAGATATAACATACTAATTCAAATTTTACAAATAAAAATTGTGTTAATCGAAGTCATATATGAGTATCAAATACAATGATACAAACTATTTGATTAAGATAAAAGAGAAACATAATTGAAAATTAATTTGACTAGTAAAATGATTTATTTAAAATGTATATAAAAATAGGAATTTATACAAGTTGCATAGTCCTAAAATAAATGAGTCATCTATAATATAAAATATGACAGATTTCAATAAATTAATTTGACAGTCTCAAATAAATTTATCCAACAACAACCAACATCTCTCTCAAAAACCATTCAAATTGAATTTTTTTCTCTCAAATTAGGAGTGCAACTCGGGCGGGTTGGACAATCAACCCTAAGTATATAATTTTCAACCCTAATCCTAACTCTAATCCCACCTCGGGTTGGGAAACTCAACCCGAGTACTGCTCGAATTTAATTCGGGCCAGCTCGGGTTAAATTCGGGTCGATGATTTCGCGTTGATTTCAAGTTATTTTACGATTTCAATTCGGGTAGAGCCTAAAATAAGCTTATTATTCTAAATCTAATACATATATTATATAATATTTACCTAAATTAACAACCAATAACTCCAACTAAGTTTTTAACAAGAGAGACTGAGAGAACGAGAAAGGCAAAGAGAACGATAGAACAAAAATGAAAAATCAGTGTTAATACTTTATATATATATAATTTATTTTTTTTTAATTTGTCGAGTTCAGGTTGAACTTGGATTCACGAAACCTTAACCCGAGCCAAACCCAAATTGAATTCGAGTTGGAGTTTTTTGATCCAATCCCAACCCAAATTTTAAAAACCCTTGTCCAACCCCTAATTTTTTCGGGTTAAAATTGGGTTACCCAACCCAAGTTGCACCCCTACTCCAAATCCATCAATTTTTACTTAAGTTGCATCGTGCCTTCATGTACAAATTATCCCTAATTGTTAGATATCCCATAGAAAAAGAGCTATTTTTAAATAAAAAAATTTAATAAGACAACTATAGTTTATTAATTTGAGATAGATAGTGTACTACTTTAACTCACTCTATTTTATAATCATCTTTTGCATTACAAACAAAGTTATTAAAAAATGACCTCAAATTTAACTCATATAAATATAAAATTATTATTTGCACCTATTATATGATAGAAAATTAATTTTAATAATAAAACTATAAAATAATAATATATATAATATAAATGACAGATGAAATAAAAAAATAAGTGAACTTTAGAGCCCTAAATTTTTTTAAAAAAATTCTATAAATTTTACAATAATATTAGTTGCACTTATTTTGAGGACCAAGTATATTAGATAAATAGTAAATTTTGTTTAAAATTAACACTAGCTATTAATTCAATAATAAAAATATATTAAGCAATTAAATTATATTCTAAAATTTTAATTATATTTATTTTATTTTGGGACTCCAAATTTTTCTTCCAGTTTGGGAGTCTTGGGAAATGGCCAAAATGGCCTAAAGGTTGCGCCGGTACCATATGTTAGTGGGTCTGTAAACTATGTTTTTGTACACCCAATTGTAAACTCAGAAATAAGTTTAAGAAAATCAATAAAATGTAGCATTGCTCTTAAAATAACTATAGTACGATCACTACTTCTAGCCAACATCATATGAGACTATTATTACTTTTCACGCATATGAAAAACAATATGCATATCCTTCAATCAATTTCACAAATCCCTTCTCTCTATGTCACACAGGGACTCGCACACCATGATCAACTCAACAGCAATAATTTGTAGTAGATAAAACTTGCATTTAACACACACCAACCCAAATGTCTGAGATTTATTATCACAAAGCAAACACACTTCCACACGACTTTAATATAGCCACATATTTTTTGTTGGACATGTTCAAAGGATTAAGAACACTCACAGAAGCAGGAGTAAAAGGAAATCACGCCTCTCCTTTATTTAGTAGCTTAATATGGCATGAATCCTGCATAGAAGGCACCAGAGCATTGCTTATTCATCGTCATAGTGCTTGCGGTAGTGGTGCTGATGCTTACGGTGTTGTTTCTTCTCCTCCTCATCATCATCACCGGTCTCTGCATCTCCCTGCCAATTTCATGTTCATATGATTAAACAAACACTGATACTGGCCATTACAAGAATGATAACTTAGATAGAAATCCAACAAGCTATTCCCAAACTATTTCTTATACACATTTCACTGATATGGTCATATGGAATGAAAATAGTTTGACAACACTGATGTAATAAAAACCACTCCAGTTTTAATAATAATCAGCCCATTCTGCAGAGCTCTCTATCGCCTAATGATAAAAAGATTACTCATGCAATGAACCATTGAGTACAACTGTCTAAGAGCATCTCCAACAATAGTAGCTATTTTAGCTACTTAAAAAGCAACTTTTTCTTTTTTAGCTACTCATTTTTTCAAAACACACTCCAACAAATTCTCTATATTTTTAACTACTACTTTTAAATATTATTTATCATCTCTTTTATATTATATTTTTTGGGAATAGTGAAAAGGAGAAAAAGAGACAATAGAAGAAATGAGAGGAAGAGAGAGAAAATAATATATATTATGTTTACATATTGCTACAGTGTAACAAAAATCTATTTTACAGCATATGAAGATAGTCTGTTGGAGTGCTGTTTTTGGCTTTGATTAGACAAAATTTGGCTATTTTGGGCATTTGAAGCATCGGTTGGAGATGCTCTAATTACGATGAAACCCCTGGTTTTATGGCAAGCAACAAGATTTAGCATAATGGAAAAGTAGGAAACAGTCAAGTGAACATAAATATATAGGTCATTCGTTGTTGTTTCTTGTTAGCTGGCTAGTTATCCCTATCAACATATGCACCTTGACGAATCTGGCGAGAGAAAACATGTAAGCCAATACACTAATGTGATTGGCCACTGACTTTCAAATCTTAACAATCACATTTAAGAGGAATTCCCAGTGACACCAAAAAACAAAAAAAGCAAGCCTAATGGGCAGACCAAATTCAGCATCAAAAACTTGGAGGATAGTGCGGCATCCTATCAATAAACCATTTGGTTGGGGATTTAAAGAAATGAGGCGGGTATGGATGTCATCAGCTTTAAGTCAACAATCAAGACAACCTGAATGTTAATATGTGCTGTGTCTTTGGAATATCATACTCCACTCCGACAGTTGCCAATCCAACCACAACATTATCAAGTACTTGCATCTTGGCCCTGAACTTAAAAAACAAGACTACTACAGAGCAATGAATCTAGTTTCACATGACCAGCCAAACTTCCAACCTCTGATTAACTACCAAACACTGCAAATTGTAGGTCTTATGAATGAGTTCAATTTCATCCTCTATTATCTTGGTTTCAAAATCCAACCATGGGTGTAATTATGATAAGAGAGCCAAATTGCATTTAGATCGAGTGCAGCCAAAAGAATCTTCGATGGTTGGGTAAGTATGTGCCCACATGAGCAAGTGCAAGTTTTAGTAACTGAACTGAAGAACACGAAATTGTGAGCTACAGAGCTAGCCTCCTCTTCAACTATGAAATGATTTCTGGATCTGTCCACTCCCCCATTCAGTTTATTTTGAACAAAATAGGGTTTTCGGACATGGATAAATCCTCATCATTCAAAAGGAATTCAATTATCTATTATTAGAGAGGAGAGCCCAATCGCCGGTCCACAAAACTTGACTGCTTGCACTGAATATAAATACATTACTACATCGAACAATGATATATGACCCATTTAATGGAATTAACCCAAGTTCAAATAAAAAGAACACTCGAGCACAAGACATTGGCAAACTAGGAGGCATCAGACTAGAAATCTAATCAGATAAAACAAACAAAAGCTATTGCAACAAAGTTAAACAATATGAAAAATAGATTGATGGCTTACATATTTCTTGCGACCATAGCCTTCATCATCATCACCACGCCTCTCATAGCTAGGCTTCCTGTACTCTTCCCCCTCCTCAGACCTTCCATAGCTCTGCCTCTCATGAGCTGGCCCCCCGTACCCCTCAGCTTCTTGGGTCTCAGAGCTCGGACGCCCATACTCTGTCCTCCCAGGCCTCCCACCGTACCCATACCCACCACCACCCTCCTCCCCATAACTGGTCTTCCGACCGTATTCCCTACTGGGCTCCTCGTACTCGCTCTTTCTTCCATACCCAGATCCATACTCTGAACTGTGTTCCTCCTTCCGTCCATAACCGGACCCACCATAACCAGATCCATACTCCGACTTGGGCTCCTCATATTCACTTTTCCTCCGATACCCAGATCCATACTCGGAACTGGGTTTCTCATACTCACTCCTCTCTCCATGGCCAGATCCATATTCTGAGGTTGGCCTCTCGTATTCCGGCTTCCGACCATACTCAGATCGATATTCTGATGTGGGCCTCACGTATTCCGGCTTCCGGCCATACTCAGATCCATATTCTGATGTGGGCCTCTCGTATTCCGGCTTCACACCATACCCAGATTCGTATTCAGATCCTCCAGATCCGAATCCAGCGCCACGACCAAACTCACCCTCTCCACCATACCCACCACCAGGCCGATTAATCCCAGGCTGAAACCCATAATTGGGCTGAGGCTTCTCATACCCATAACCACTGCCGCCGCCGCCGAATTCCTCAGATGGACGAGTCACACCAGTTGGGACTCCATACGGAGGAGAGGGTCGGGGCTTGGGACGGGCATAGCTCTTGTACTCGTTCTCGAGTGCTTCATCGCCGTAGGCACAAGGCTCGGCATAGGAGGAGTATTGAGGGCGATCATAGTCAAAGCCCTCGGAAGTGGATGAAGCGTTGGTATAGCAGGTTTCTTCGGAGGGTGGATGTGGGCGGCCGTAGGTCAAAACCATATCGTATCCTCCACCGTAAGGGGTTGGATCATACTCGTCGAAATCGTCAACATCTTCGGCGAATTGATGGCCTTTCGCGTAGTACGACATTGTTGCTGATTTTGGGTCTGATCTGTTGCGACTTGCGAGATCGAAATGACCCTCCACTCTTTGGACGACTTTGTTTATAAGGAAAAGGGACCATGATGGTGGATGAACCGAACGGTGCCGTGTTGCAGTTTAAATTCTTTTGGGGCTAATCTCATATTGGACACCTATGTTTCGATTTTTAATTTATACCCTCAAATATTAAAAATTTTAATTTATACTCTCAATATTATAAATTGGTATCAATACGGACCTCATTCAGACTACTTTCAATTATTCATCATAAATTAAAACAAATGAATTGCAAGTGCTTGAGACATAGTCTTATGTACAAATTTACATACTATTAACTTCATATATGAGTTGAACATTATAGAATTAACTTTTATCTATCTAACTAATAAAACTACAAAATAATTCGTAACTGAAAACACGGTGCAATTAAAAAAAATTGAACATTGAATTTGGACACAAAATAATTAAACACTGAAAATAAAAAACATTGAATCACTCGTTCACAAATTGCATCAATTGTAAGTGGTGCACACCACCCTAGCAACAACAAAGAAAGAAACTTATAAAAAGAAGGAAAAAAAAATAGGAGCAAAAACAACACATGGACCAAAATTTTTTTTAGAAAGCACGTATACTAAAATTAGAATTGGATGGAAAAATTGAATTGATAAAAATTAAGATTTCTTTTTCAAAATGCACTGTAATAAAGCAAAAAACAAATTAGATTGATAAAAATTAGAGATTAAAAAATAATTCATTACATTTCCATTGCGTACTAAAAAACTTGATATGCAGAGCTGAAGTTAAAACTCAAATGTTCAAACCAAGAATTAAATTCTCCATAAAACTCGTCTATTTAGTATTTCGAAAAATCCAAAACTCATCAAAAAGTAAGATAGTCCACTAAACAAACCAACAATTAAATAATTGAACAATAATCAAACATTAAGCCTAGTAATTTAAACCAACAATCAAAAAACAAGATAATTTAACATATCACATAACTTAAACTACCGAAATGTTGTTAATCAAACATTAAACCAACAATCGTTCATTAACAGCTGCATGAATTTCCCTCCTATCTATAAGGTAAGCTGTCTCTGTAATGTCCTCTGCCAATGCTGTCAAGTAGTCATAAAATTTGGGAATTTAACATGCCAAACATATGTTGCATGAAGATTCAATTCATAAGACACCTAAGATATCACATCTGCACTCAACCCGAACGTACTTTGTATTGGGCTTTCAACTAAGGGAGCTAAATTAGAAATTATACACCCGGAACTTACGGTTAATGGATCCTCAGTCTTCAAATTCCCAATAGTTTTGTCATTGGATTTAGGTATCTTCGACTTTCCCTTCTCAATATCCATATCCAAAATGTGTGGCGTAAAGAGATCCACATTTTCCATCTTCAGAAAGGCTTAGGATATCTAACTGCGATTCACATTGCTGCTTGGTGGGATTTTCACCGGGCAACACTGCAACACCATAGGCATCTTGGCACTGCAAAAACAAACTGTTAAAAGAATATGATCGCAGTAGATTTATGACAATAATAACAAAACCAAAATGAGAAACAGCCCATTTGCACCAAGAGAACTTCTTGATTCAATGTTAATGACACCAGGGGTTTAAACACATGATTCAAAGGTAAAGCGATGAATGGTTTCACATCTTAAAATGTTATGGCAGCAGGTCATGTTTTAGCAGTTTGTCACTTCATGGCCTTCAGGCACGCAATGCTGTTAATCAAACATTAAACCAACAATCAAAAAACAAGATAGTCCACAAAACATACTGCAAAATTTAAACTACCGCATAATAATTTAAACTAATTAAAGTTCAAACCAACAATTAAAGCTAATTGGACAATAAGTCTAGGAGTGTGTGGTCACCAAAGTCTTGACCAAGAAAACTATGTCAACCATGCTTAAAATCAGAATTCCTTGCAAGTCATATAATAATGAAATTATGATATTCCCAAAGTGATCATCCTTCTTGAGAAATCCTTGAATCTTGTCATTACTATCTAGTTTTTGGATACAAAAAGGATACAAAAAAGACAAATTACATTAGCATGGTAATGGTTTGACAAAGGAGGATCAATATTTAATGTAGACAAAAGTTGTGTGACCCCTAAACTGGCTAAGTATGTAGTATTCTCATGTGTTTTCTTCTAATGTGAACTTCAGTTCATGAATGAGTGATCTCATAACAATTTTTTGACCAAAAGTTCTCTTTAGATAACTCACCCAGATTGTGGATGTTTTAAACTAGTACTGCAAATGGAGGTCTTAGCTGCTGATTTGTTGTTCCACATTCCTTGTGCAACATTTCTCCATGTTTGCAATTTTCCATGAGTACAATATAGCACATCAAAATCAAAAACTACAATGAAATTCCAGCAGAGTGACAATCAAATTCCAACGCTTTTATATCAAATTCAACACATCAAGTGTCTATACATACACACATCCTCCTATTATCGTAACCAAAACTAAAAAATTTTGTCGCATGAACACCACCACATCAAACACCCAACCTTAAATCAATAATTGCAACGAACCTGGCGAATATAGGAAAAATCAATTGTTAATAACCAGGGCAAAAATAAATAATGCAGAAGAAAAAAAAACATAAGGTCAAGTGAAGAATTCTATTGAACAGGTGGTGGACATGCATATAGGAAAGGCAGAAGTGTGTGTGTGTGTGCTTGAGAGAGAGAAAGAGGGAGAGAGAGAGAGTAGGAGGCACTACAGATAAATGAAAATAGCCCTTGCTGCAACTACACAACCAAATGGAACATACACATACCTTTTGATTAGGAAAAAAAATCAATGGTGAGGCGTCCAATGACCCACAAATAGACAAAATCCAAATTCATAATGAAATAGAACAACAAAATCAAGCAAAAACACAAACCATAACATTGAACATTATGTCAAATGCAATTAATTGTCTTTCCGCAATTTCCAATTCAAACTAAATTATCTAAATCATAAAAAACAGTTATATAGGTTTTGATTAAGGCAGTGGTGCAATCCATTCCTACTTATGCTCTGGGTTGTTTTAAATTACCGGATAATTTTTGTGAGGAATTAGAGACACTAGCGGCCAGATTTTGGTGGGGACAAAGACAAGGGGAGAGGAAAATACATTGGGTTAGTTGGAGGAAGATGTGTATAAGAAAAGAGAAGGGTGGAATGGGTTTTAGAGATCTTAAGGCGTTTAATTTGGCGATGTTGGCGAAACAAGCTTGGAGAATAAATGTAGAGGTTAATTCACTTCTTCATCAAGTGCTTAAGGCAAGGTACTTCCCTTCGACACCATTCATGGAGGCAGAGATTGGGCATAGACCTTCTTTTACATGGAGACGTATATTAGGAGCAAGGAAAGTTATGGACCCAAGATCAAGATGGCGAATAGGTGATGGGTCCAAAGTTAATATATGGTCGAATAGATGGAAACCCACCCCTGTAAGTTTTAAGGTTGTATTCCTAGAAGGGGTTCTCATATTCCGACCAAGGTGGGGGAACTTATTAATGAACAAACACAGAGTTGGAATGAGCAGTTAGTGGATGAAATTTTCTTGCCCCATATGACATTAGTAATCAAAAGTATTCCACTTAGGAGATTTCCAATGAAGGATAGACTGATCTAGCACTATAATTCCAATGGGAGATTCTCGGTATGGAGTGCATATCATATCATTATGGATCAAAAGCTATTACACGTAGGTCCATCCAATTCATCTCCCTCCTCTAGCGCTGGACATTTGAATTGGAATTTCATTTGGAATCAGAAAATTCCAAATAAAATTAAGATCTTTGCTTGGCGGGTATGCTCCAACGCGCTACCAACAGGGGACAATCTTCGGAGAAGGAAAATTGAGGTAAATGGGTGTTGTGCAGTGTGTCAAGATAAAGATGAATCCTTATTACATTGTCTAAGAGATTGTACTTGGGCCAAGGCAGTATGGTGCTGCAGCCCGCTTAAGACAGTAAACCAACTTATGTCCCTTGACCCTGGGCAATGGTTGCATGAAGTTCATCAGGCCCTTAGAACAGATGAGTTTTCTTTGTTCCTAACTCAGTGTTGGTTTGTGTGGAGAAACCGGAATATTAGAATTTTTGAAAATATAGTTCAAGATCCCAGTGAAGTGCAGTTAAAGGCAGCTGAATATTGCAGTCTATTTAGGGATGCAGCAGTTCAGCCCCTTGCCGAGCAAACTCCCAACGTTAGGTGGTGTCCCCCAAGGGCAGGTACTTTCAAAGTTAATTTTGATGCCGCTGTATATGCAGATCAGAATGTCTTAGGCGTGGGGGTAGTCATACAAGATGATAGGGGCTACTTTGTAGGGGTCTTGTCCAAGAGGATTGAGTTGAGTTGTGACATTCGAAAAGCAGAAATTTTGGCAGCAAAGATAGCGATTCAATTTGCAAGGCAGCAAGAATTAGTCAAAGTCATTTTGGAAGGGGATTCGATAAGTGTTATAAATTCAATAAGGAATGGTGACAGATTTTGATCCTCTCGAAACCATCTTTAAAGATATTAGCAGCACAGCGAGGAGTTTTCAATTTTTTGAAGTGACCAAAGTCCCACACAATGGGAATAAAATAGCTCATGAGTTAGCTCGTTTTGTATTACCTTTAAATAGTAGTGTTGTATGGTTGGAACAAGCACCAGACTTTATTATGCCTCTCATTTTTGCTGATTTTCTTGAGTAATAAATTTTTTACCGATGATTCTCAAAAAAAAAAAAATGTACATAAAAGGCCAATGAGATTTCATGGAAACAATACTACAAACAATTTGTTTAGGCTTGTGCGATGTGTATGTGCTGGTGAGTGTGCGTGTGCATGTGCTGGTGTGTGTGTGTGTGTGCATGTGTGTCAGCCTGAATGTGATATGTATGGATAACAAAAATGAAAGTCAGTTTCTCATTACACAACCAAAAAGACACTTCCATTAATAAACAAATTAGTACACACTGTGTTATAAATTTACCATATGATTGGACAAATTAAGTGCAAAACAAGGAGGGATTTGGATGTCGATCCTGTCATTTCAAACTAAAAGCAATTTAACACAGCAGATTCCATAAGCAAAACCTGCAATAATTTGG